TATTTTGGGGTTTGTAGGAGAACTTGCAAACTTATTTTTAAAAATTGAGATTAAATTTACATAACATAAGGTCAATTCTGCACTTTAAAGTGTAGAATTCAGTATCATTTAGTACATTTCCAGTGGTCTTCAACTACCAGCTCTTCATATTTTAAGACATTTGATCACTCCAAAAGAAAACCCCATAGTATTAAATGGTCAATGCCTATTCATTTTGGACTCCTGTCTGTGGTAATTGGTCTTCTATATCTAAGGATTAACCTATTTGTAACATTTTATATAAAAGGAATCGTGTAATCTGTGACCTTCTGTATGTTTTCAGCATGCATCCATTTGTAGCCTGTAGTCCTACTCCATTCCTTTTTTATGAGTAGTCCAATTTATGGGCAGATCCCAGTTTGTTTATCCATTTTTTCTCACCACTTAATTTTGTGTGGATGTCGTTCATAGCCTTTTGGCTTTGTTTTCTAGTTGCTCTGATAGTTTTCGTACAGGAAACCAGGAAGAGCCAAACCCTGCTGCTACCATCTTTCCAGAATTCTATTGGAGAAATTTTACTTGAAACTTCAAACACCTAATTCACGTAGTACTAGAGGTGAAAAGAAAATTGGGTGCGTGTGCGTGTGTGCCCAAGATCCCGAGAGGAGGATGGAGGAGAAGTGATTACAGCATGGCCATCCCCCTGGGGGGTGATTTCTTGCTTTCTGTCTCTCTGTCTCTCTCTGTCTGGCAAGCACACATGCCCTATAGCAAAAACCTCTCAAAAAAAAAAAAAAGAAAAAATAATTTAGTGTCACATGAAAGAAAATGTCCATTAATTCTTATTTAGTTTCTGGTCTTCTTTTCTCTCTCTCTCTCTCTCTCTCTCTATCTCTCTATATATATATATATACACACATATATATTTTTTTCTCTTCTGTTTTCTTCTTTATGCCAATTGTTCAGCTTTTCCTTGGATTCCATAAGATCTGCATGTTTACTACCATCTACTCCCTTTCTATTCACGTGAGCCAATGCATAGGTTTCTGTCCTTGGACATCAAGCATGCCATTACAGCTCCCCTCTGTTTCCTCAGTCTGATTCTTGTGGTTTTTTTTTGAGAGGTTTTTGCTATAGGGCATGCGCACTTGCCAGACAGACAGAGAGAGACAGAGAGATAGGAAGCGAAAAATCGTCCCCCAGGGGGATGGCCACACTGCAATCCCTTCTCCTCCATTCTCCTCTCGGGATCCTGGGCACACACGTACACATGCCCGGCGTGAGTTTTAAGCCACTGGATCCGGACTTGAACTGCAGTTGACTGCATGGGAATCCAGCGACATAGCCATTATGCTAACTGCTGGTCCCTTGTGTTTGCTCTTCAATTCCATCGTAGGTCCAATTTTCTCCTGGAAATAACAGCAGGAAGACACTTCAGTGTGTGATTCTTCTCTAGTCAAAATGTTCTTTAACAAACTCCCAATGTAACAGATAAATTGTTAGCTATGAACACTTAATAACCTTTATCTTGGTTTTCTTGTTTTTTCTTTTTTTAAAATTTTTGCCCAAGATATTTGTGCTTGCTGGAGAGAGACTGAGAGAGAGAAAATGAGAAATCACCTCCTGGGGGGATAGCCACTTTACAATCCCTTCTCCTCCATCTTACTCTCAGAATTTTGAGTACACACACACACACACACACACACACACACACACACACAGCATGATTTTCAAGACACTGACTAAGTCTGGGATGTGAACTGTAGTCAGCCTTGTCGGAGTCCAACACCTTAACAACCATGCCACCCGTTGGTCCCTCTCCTGCTTATCTGTTTAGGCTTAGGTTGGGTTCCCTATACACTGAGCCTGAAATAGATTTTTTAAGGCAAAGCTCTCAGATAAAAACTGTATGGGGGTGAATGCAGCAGAGGAAAACAGAAATCGGGTAAAATGTGGCTTTAGCTGAAGTCTAGACTCTGGTCCCACATGGAATACTAGAGTATGAATATCACCAAGACTTGTCTTGTCCTGAGGAAGGGGAGCCTTTAGTATAAGACACATCTTTAGTTGCAGGCATCTCTCTGGCCAAGGATAATTCAGGAAAAGGGTACAACTTTGAGCTATTAATATGCACTTCAGTCAGGAGTGGGAGCGCCAGGTCAGTGACATGAGTTTGTGTGGGAAGCCAGCTGTGCCTGCCACACTTTGCACCTGGCTTTGTTCATGTCTCTCTGTTTCTATAAATTCCATGTGCCTACAACACACATATATATATGCAGGAATATCTGTGCATGCATGTATATATGTATAGCATGTATTTGTATGCTTATATAAATACATTTTGTTTTAATTTTAATATTCCCATTGCAGCTTTGGTCTATTTAGAAAAAGTCAGGTAGTGGATGGGTGGTCAAGAACAGGCTTGTAGAAGGAGCAAAGCAGAGCTTGAACATCAGGCATAGGGTCTGTAGACTCCAGTGACTCTTACTAGGAAGATGCTCCAATGAGAATTGGTACATTTATTGCTGGAAGGAGTATGGGATTCTTGTTTTACCAAGCAGAGCAGAGTGAGGGTGCAGTGAGCTGGAGAGGACAGAAGGCTTCTTTAAAAAAGCACTGCCTGGGGCTGGCAGGTTTTGTGGGGCTTAGGGGCACTGGACTCCCACACAGCCGACTGCTGTTTGCAGTTCCCGGACCTGGCGGTTTGCTTTCTCACTTTTCCTCTCTTTCTTCTCTCATTCTCAGTCTCTCTTGCTCTGTCCCTCTCTGACCAAATTAAAATAAATAAGTAAAGTTAAATGAAATATTTCTTAAAAAATTAGCACTGCCTAGTGCCTGTGGGTAGGGAATCAGAAGGGACAGTGCATGGCCATTTATACGCTGAGGTCATTACAAGTCAAATTTTCTTTAAGAGGCAATTGCTTGTTTTGGAAGTTTGTGGCATCTCCTCTTTTGAGGCCTAAAATTATTCTCTGGGTTGTGGTGTTGGATAAGTGTGGAGGCAGTAGGAGCGGTGGGGTGATGGGCTAATTAATGTCTCAAGGCCAATTTCATCTTGAAGATTTGCGGTTCTGTGGCTTCTTTTAGTTTTTTTTTCTTCCTTTAGTAAGACCTGTTACAGAAGTGAAGGAGTTATAGGGACCCTTTTATTTATTTATGTTTAAAATTTTTGTAATTTGCTAGAGGATACATGCAATCACTAGAGAAAGAGAGAGAGAGAGAGAGAGAGAGAGAGAGAGAGAGAGAGAGAGAGAGAGAGAAGAGAAAGTGAGAACAAACCCCCCCATGGGGAATGGACATGTTACAATCCCTTCTCCATTTCTCCCTTCTTTCAAGATTTTGGGCATGCAAATACATATGCCTGGCATATTGCTCATGCCACTGGGTTTAGGACTCAAACTGGTTGTACAGTAGGCTATGTGGGATCTGATTGCCTTCACCACCACACCACTGGCTGGCCCTATATGGACCCTTTCATCAGAACTGCAAGTTAATGCCATCTCAGAAAACACCACTGAATGGCTTTTGATAGTTTATATTATTATTTCAAGTGTGTATTTAAAAATGTGCTGAGAAGTTATGCATGTTTGTCTTTTTTTTAAAGAGATGCTATATAGATACTTGAAAAATGCTAAGTTCCCCAAACTGCTGTAATGCTTGGATATATTAATAACTTATTTATGACTTGCTATGTATGGAATCTGATGCTCCCCCAGCTCAATGGGTGAGAAAAAAGAAAAAGCAGGCGAAGGCCTTGCTTCTTTCGTTTTTTTCTACTTTTAAAGAATTGTCAAGACCTCTTTGTTTCCTTTCCCAGCATGGACCCTGCAGGCAGACAGCAGAGGGTAATTTTAGAAATGGGTAATACATAAAGAGGCCAAAACCCGGGAAGGTCATGACCTACAGCTTCTATAAGTGAAGAACTTCTATTTTGGGAGGGCAGTGTTTGTGATGTTCCCTCATTATCTGACAGCACGGGGTGTCACAACTGGCATCCATCCCAATTTTCCTGCCCCAGTTTTTGAGATAAAGCATAAAGTTTACACGGTAGTGCCTTTTTCTTTCTGCATTTCTGCATCCCTGTTTCTTTCATATTCTGTGAAGTTTTTGGAAACTATATCACAAGGGAAGGCTGAGGCGTTCTCGCTCATTTTGAGGGTGATTATTTTTGTTTATTTGTTTCCAAAGAGACCTTTCTTTGAATCATGAGGCTTTTGACAAAGGATATTGTCTCTCTAATTTCCCTTCCTTTTAACCTTCATAGATACAGAGATTTTGTTTTCCCATGGTGGGGCAAGAAATGTGTTCCCTAAAAGAGAATCAAGCGGCTCACTTTTTCTTTCATAGACTTTTAATGTTTGAATGTAGTTAAAATTATAAACTGTTATGTAAGAGATGTCAAGAACCCCAAATGTCTTAATCCAGCATGAAACCAGGATATCATGTGTACTTGTTAGGCTCTTGAGAATAAGTGGCACTTAAAACAAATAAATAAGTGAAATCATTAGAAGATGGTAGCTTCCAGAACCTTAACAGTGGTTCCTAGAAGTTAACTTTTAATCATGTGATATGAGATAACTTCTTCCCAAAGAATGGGTCCCTTTAGGCAGCAAGATGATTTAGCTTCCCACGGCCAAAAACACTATGCAATGTTTCTGCTCACATGGCTTTATAAATATATTTCCCGGCTAAGTGTGTGAGAGTGGAACTCAGTGGATGCAATTTTCTCAGTTTCAAACTGCCAAGACATAGAGCATGTTTTCTCTTGTGGTTTAAGAAGTGTTCTTTGCTACAATACACACCCCTTTGGCAAAGTAAATGTGCTCATCAATGAAAAGTTGGCAGCTAGTTCATAGGAACAAGTCATACACTCCAAGGTGGGAAATGGTAAACCCGTCTCTGTAAGGGCCAGAGAGTAATTGCTTTAAGTTTTGCTGGTCAAGATGCAAAATTGAGGCTATTATGTAGACACTTAGAAAACAAGAGAAAAAACCTTTTCCAGACATTTTTAATTGGCACAATCGGAATTACGATAATAAAAATAATCATCGTGTACAGCTTTTGTAATGTAAGTCTTCTATGAAGAAGAATGAAATTTTCTTTGGGGGCGTAGATAACCCTTCACTTAATCAAGATTCAAACTTAGTGCTCTCCAGCTTCAAGCCAATGGTAAATCTTCGTCTGTAAAAGTCATTCCTGGTCAGTCGGCAGCAGGCTGGATTTGGCCCACAGACTGTGTGCTAGAAAAATGCATCCCGGCACCACTCCTTGGGTGTTGTGTCTGGGTTTTTCTCTGTTGCCTGAAGAGACACAACAAATCATCTTTATGCTTTTTTTCTTTAAAAAAATTGCGATAGGGCTTGTGTACTCACCAGGGAGAGAGAGACAGACAGAGAGACAGAGAGAGAAAGAAAGCATTCCCCAATGGGGCGTGGCCATGCTGCCATCCCTTCTACTCCAATTCTCCATCCTGTCAGGGTTTGAGGCATGCATGCACACACTCCTGGTGTGTTTTTAAAGCTGGAAGCCAGGATTTGACTATAGATCCAGCTCTCTTAACCACTAGGTTATGGAGCCAGCCCACACCGTTTTTGTTTTTAAAGCTAAGAACCGTAGTGCTCTCTGCACATGCTCACGAGACATACTTCAGCTCCCTTTCTTTTCCAGTGAGGTCGTCATTCCCAGTGCGCCATACTGTAGACCTGACCTTTGGTTATCGATGGTAATCTGTGGCTTTCTGAACGCTTAAATTGCCTACCATGTGTCAGGTGCTGAGGTGCAGTGGTGAGGTCTCGTGAACTGGCCTTCGAGCGGACACCCTCCATTTATTTACTGGACACCCACCAGTGTACCATGCACTAGACTGAGCCCTCTGTGCTTGTCATCAGATTTAGTTCTCATAGTAACTCCTGAAAGTCCTGCATTTCTCTTCATTTTACAGATGGGAAGTGGCCTGTTAGAGTACTAGCTAATGACAATTGGGCACTTCTTATGCAAGATGTGGCTCTAAGTGCTTTACATGAATTGTCTCCTTTAATCCTTACCCTAATGCAATTGGTATCTTATCCTCACTTTATAGATGTAAAAATGGAGGCACAGAGAAATCAAGAGTTGCCTAGCATCACTCAGCGTAAGGGGCAGAGTCAGAATTCAAACCCAGGTAATCTGTACTCTGGCACTCAGATGCTTAACATTGTGCTTTTTTTTTGGGGGGGGGGCTTGTTTGTTTGTTTGATATAGAGTTTGTGTGTATTCTCCAGAGAGAGAGTGAGAAGTCACCCCATGGATGATAGCCGTGCTGCAGTCTCTTCTCCTCTTTTCTCCTCATGGGATTTTGGGCATGCACATATATGTGCCTGGTGTGATTTTCAAGCTATCGGGTCCAGGTCTCAAACCACACTAGTGGCTATGTGGGATCCAGCTGCCTTAAACTCCACGCCATCTGCTGGACCAACATTATGCATTTTTTTAAATATTAAAAAGATGATGTTACTTGTTGAAGAACACACAGGAAGTAAAATGGAAAAGAAACCTGGCTTTGCACTTTAAGAGTCTGACTCCAGTCTTTTTTCATCCACTGCCTGTACCCATGGTCCCACCGCTTCTGGTTGTTGGGGGTTAACCTGTTGGTTATGAATAAGTTGGTTCCAAGGTAAAGGAAGATAAAACGAGCTCACAGGAGGTGGGATGAGTGAGTCCTATTTCCATATTTATTCAGGTAAACCAAAAAACAGGAGGGTCACATAGGTAGTGTGGGCTTTATGGAAAGAACCTGTGCTTCAAATTGGAGCAGCTTGGCTGGCCTTATTTCCTGGTTGATCTTGGGCAAGTCCCTTGACCTCTCTAATCCTCAATTTCCTGTAGAAAGGGATGAATAAAACTTCCCTTGAATCAGATTTAGTGTCTTGTCTTCAGTGTTGTTTAGTTTTGTCTCAACGTGGCTAGGCTATAGTACCAAGTGATTTAATCAAACATGAATCTAGGTGTTGGTGTGAAGGTATTTTCTAGATGTGATCAGTTGCCTTTAAGTAAAGGAGAGTTTCCTTGATTATGTGGGTGGGCTTCGTCTAATCAGTTGACAGCCTTAAGAGCAAAAATGGTTTTCCAGAGTGGAAGAAATTCTTCCTCCAGGTGGTGGCCTCTGTCCCGGCCTGAATTTCTAGCCTGCTGGGCTCTCCTTCAGGGCAGTATCTGGAAAATTCTGGTACGTCCTCTAATAAGCACTCAAAACACAGTCTCTATGTAACGAGAGCCATAGATGTCCTAAGACCCATAAAAATCTCTGACTCTCAGTGATACAAATGATTGAAATATCCACATTTTTACTTGGATTTACTTTAGTTTATGCGTTTCAGCCCTGCGAAGCGAAAGCACCCTTACCTTTGTGTCTCATTTCAATTACAACATGTATTCGCAACACAATCTTCTTTGAGCAGGAGGGCTGTGGTAAAAAATACAGATATGCTTCCAACATCATCTTTAAAGCCTGGCTGATGTGCTGATTAAAGGAAAATGGCATGGTGAATTGAAAGATATTTTAACTACTATATCTAATTACAAAGAAGAACATGTTACTTACCAAAATTCAAATGTGTTCTATAATAAAAAACAAGGGCAATTAACAATCAAACAAGCAACTGCCTTCTTGACAGGCAGATGACACAGAACAGAACTAAGAAAATGCAGAAAGCTTTGGCTTGACGAGGAAAGCTGAGATGGTCCTTCAAATTGTAAGGTAAGATCCAAAGGGCATGTGACTTTGCGGTTACAAGACCAGAAGGGACGCGGGGGAGCACTGGAATTGTGATGTTTGGTTCTGTATTGTTCAAGCAAGTTCTATTTACCCTTAAAATGGGAAACACAAGAATTTACCAGTTATCAAAATTTTCAATATAAAAGACCCTTTTTCTGCATGTCATTTTACTCAGAGATAGACTGGTATTTATTTTAAAAATGCACACATAAGTATATATGTTCTTTAAAAAGAACTGTACTAGCCTTGATTTAGTTTTCTATTCAGCATTTTATAGTTTGGTCTCCTGTCTATGCGGTAGGGATTCGTGTGGTTAGAAAAGTTAATATCCACAAATTACCATGAGCTCTGGAGATGAAAAATCCTATAAAAGTTCAAAATTTCCTAGTAAACCCAATTCTTCCCTTTAATAGGCAGGAAAAGTGTAACGTGTTCTCTTTCTCCTGGCCATACAGCTGCTGCTTTTCCCAACTATTATTCTTAGTACGTTTGAGAATGGGTTAATGGGCTAATGGTTCAAGCCAGGGGATGGATCTCTTAGACGCGATCTGTGGCCTCTGGGAACAGGGAGTATGTGTAATGGCTGGAAACCAGGCATGATTTTCTTGGCTAGAGGCCGTGGTTTGCAAACCATAGCAGACATAAGAAGCACCTGAAAAATTTGCTAAAAATGCAAAACCCTGGGCCGCACCTCCAGGGATTCTAAATCAGACCTTCTGGGGTGAAGTTCAGGAATTTTCACTTTTAATAAGTTCCCATGGCAACCCAGAAGCAGGTAGTTCATGGACCACAGTGTAAGAACTACTCATCTACAGCAGTGTCATTAATGCATAAGTTACATACCTGATCCAAGGTTATGTACATATATGTATACCGCATACTGGAAGTTCAATGTTTTAGGATGGTCTCAAGAAGAAACAAATAATATTTTATAAATACTAGCACCTTACTTAGCCATTATTTTATATACTTTTTTTTTTGAGAGGTTTTTGCCATAGAGTGCGTACGCTCACCAGAAAGACAGAGACAGAGATAGAAAGCGAGAAATCACCCCCCCCCACACACACACACAGGGGGGATGACTACGCTGCAATCCCTTCTCCTCCATTCTCCTCTCAGGATCTTGGGCATTCATGCACACGTGCCCCGCGTGAGTTTAAGTCACCAGGTGGGGGACTTGAACCGCGGCCGGCTACATGGGAGTTCAGTGACATAGCCATTACGCTAACTACTAGTCCCAGGCATTATTTTATATACTTTTTTGCTCTCACTACAATATTATTAATGTAGCTTATGCTTATTAGTAACAACTAAGTGTTTTTTTATAGGATTATTTTATATATTTTAGAATTACTTTTAAAATTTTATTTGTTATTATTATTATAATTTTAATTTGATGAGAGATGGGAGAGAGAGAACGTGAGAAAGCAAGCCACCAAGTCTGGGAATTGAACTGTGGTCCACTATGTGGGAGTCTAGCACCTTTAACCACCACACTATCTGCTGGTCTCACTAGTATGTTTGAATAAAAAGAGTTTTAATAAAAGGAGTATGACAGCCATGCTCCATTATTTCAAAAATATGGGTTAACTATATTATAAAATAGTTATTTGAAAGTCTCTTTCAAAGTTTATTTCATGTGATTTTTAAAATTTATTATTAGTATTATTTTTCATACATTCAATTGCTATACACCATTTATATTGTAAAAAGACTCTACCAAGCATGATGTACACCTCAGTCCAGCCCAGTTGAGAAGACTATACACATACTTGTCAGCAGATAATAAACCATATCTGTGATTTTTGGCTGTAATGGATTTGTAAGAAATACCTTTCAAAGATGCATAGATTTGAGGCTGACAGGTGGAGTGGTGGTTAAGGCATTGGACTTCCACATGGTCGACTGTGGTTCGGGTTCTGGACTTGGCAGCTTGCTTTCTTGCTTTCCTTTTTTTCTCTTTCTCTGTCTCTCTCTGGTCAAATTTAAAATAAAAATAGGGACCAACAGTTGGCGTAATGGCTGTGTCACTAGACTCCCATGTGGTCACCGCGATTTGAGTTCCAGACCCAGTAGCTTAAACTCACGCCGGGCGCGTGTGCGTGCTTGCTCAAGATCCCGAGAGTAGAATGGAGGAGAAGGAACTGTGGCTTGATCATGCCCCGGAGGGGTGATTTCTTGCTTTCTGTCTCTCTGTCTTTGTCTTTCTGGCAAGTGCACGTGCGCTATAGCAAAAACCTCTCCAAAAACAAACAAACAAACAAACACAACAAACCCCAAAATATTAAGAACGAATGGAACTAATTAAATAAATAATTCTTTAAAAATGCATAGATATAAATAAAAGACATGCATCCATGGCTGTGCTTTCTAAATTGTGATGCTCATAGTTAAACTCCCTCCATCAATCATGTGACCTCTTTATCGAAATTTTGGCTAGTAACTTTCCATATACTAGCTTGTCATTAAGACATTTTTAAAAATTAACTGAATTTTGCTGATTTTTAAATCATTTTTTAAAAATTGCCAGAGGGCATATGTATGAATGAGAGAGAAAGGAAGCACCCTCTAATAGGGTATGGTCATGCTGTAATCCTTTTTTTCTCTGTTTTTTTTTTTTTTTTTTCCTATCAAGATTTGGGACACACATGCCCAATGTGGTTTTGTTGTTGTTGTTATTTATTTATCTGTTGCTTTGCTATAGGGCCTGTGAGCTCATTGGTGAGAAAAAGAGAGAGAAAGGGAAGGTGAGATATCATGCCCCAGGGGGATGACCATACCTCAATTCCCTCTCCCCAGCTCTCCTCTTGGTATTTTGGACATATATACACATGTATCTGGTGTGATTTTAAAGCTGCTGGACCTGGGACTCGAACCATGAAGCCAGCCATGTAGGATCCAGCTACCTTAACCTTTGTGCCACCCAGTGGCCCACCCTGTGTAGTTTTAAGCTGCTGGGGACAGAGGTAAGACTCTGGAGGGCCACGTGGGATCTGGCTCTCTCTATGCACACTACTGGATAGCTGCTATGGATCTAGTTCTGATTTAGTGTTACTTGTAAACAATTTTTTAAAAAATCACTGAAACACTCCATTTGGAAGATTTGAAAACAGGATAGAAAATTCTTTCAGGATTAAGTGCACAGATTTTAATTTTTAGAGTGACAATACACTTTTTCTTTCCACAAGTCATGAAATGAAAATATCTAAACTTCTGCTTTTAGATGTTTAAAATTAATAGCTTGAATTACTCTCTAAAAGCAATACTGCTTTTTAGTTACTGTTAAATTGCCACCTTTACTTTGAAGGGACAGATGGAATTTAAGTAGAAAGAGTGACATAGACATATGTGGATATAGTAATGTACTACTTAGTGATATTTTGTTCGGTGATGGATGGCATATACTGTGGAGGTCCCACTAGATTATAAGGAAACTGAAAAATTCTTTCAGCCTAGTGATGTCATAGCTGTTATAATGTCATTGTGCAATTCACGTCATTTGTGGTGAGCTGGGAAAGCACCTCCCAATAGATCCTGGTCACACTGCAACCTCTTCTCCATTTCTCCATCCTGTTGGCATTTGGGCATACACACAGTGTCCCTTGTGTTTGTCAAGCCACCAGGGTCAGGATTCGAACCATGATCCACCAAGTGACATCCATCTCCTTTAACCAGAGGCTGTGAGGCTGACTATGTTTGTGTTTTAAGCTAAGTGTTATCAAAAAGAAGCAATTTAAAAGAAAATTTAAGGTTTATAAAGTACAATGGTTCTAAAAAACTAAGTTTAATTTATTACTGAAGAAGAGCTTTTTTTTGTTAAATTTTGTAAATTTAGTAAAGTCTAAGTGTACAGTGTTTTTAGAGTCGACAACAGGGTACACTAATGTCATAGGCCTTCACGTTTACTCCCTCTCCTCTCCCCTCCACTGACACAACTAGGGCAACATCCAGTTCTGTAAGCTCCATTCACGGTGAGTGCCTGCACAGGTGTACCATTTTTTCTATGTTATGTTGCAATTTTGCTGTATCTTTTCTATGTTTAGACATGCACTGACTGCTGTGTTATAAATGCCTACCACATTCAGGGCCATACAGGTGTGTAGCCTGGGAGCAATAGGCTATCCCGTAGAGCCTCCATGTGTAGCAGACTGTACCGTTGAGGGCTGTGTCGGTGCACTGTGATGCTTGCGCAGTGATGGAGCTGACTGGTGTACTTTCCCCAGAGCAGGTCGCTGTGGCTAAGGGATGCATGGCTACATAGATGCTGATCTGCGAAGTAGCATATGCCTACGAGCCACTAGTCACTGAAAATGGTGACAAATTTGGAACACTTGTGTTGTAAGAGAAAAATATGTAACTAATTTTTAAGTTGGAAAACTTTTTAAATTACTTGATTTCTTAATCAAGTAATTCACTTAAGCAATTTACATCATTTACCTAATTAAGGGACAGCCAGGGTACTTCTGAAGTATCAAAGCTCTTCGTGAATTCTCCCATCTCATGACAAAGCTTGATGGGAATTCCGTTATGCAAAACTGTTACATTTTATATATATTTATACACACACGCACATATATATACTTGTTTCAGATTATTTATACATATATATATGTATATATATGAAAAGTAAATACTTCAACGGCATCTTGAGGAACTTTGCACTTCTGGCTTTTACATTTATTGTAATAGCTCTGAGCGTGGCAGGTTATGAGTTTTAAGTTCGATGATATCTTTGTAATCTTAGCCTGGAATTGTTTGTGCCAGATAAAGTTTTTTTGTCTTTCATTATTATTCAAGAGACTTCCAAAGGGACTTCAAACTATTTTCCATTAAGTTTCAGAGGAATTCAGTAAAGCCCATGACTTTAAAAATTGCTAAAAAAAATCAGTTTGTATTTTATGTTCTTTCTTATTTTTTTTTCTTTATTCATGATAGAGTTGCTCTGTGTGCTTTGTAGGTGTATGTGAGACAGAGAGAAAGAGGTGAGGACCCTCCACAGGGCGTGGTCAT